ATAAATACATTGCGGCTCTTTTGTTGTTTGTAGTCAACCAGTTACCTATAGAGATTATTACTCACAACTTTTTAGAAAAAGGTCACTCGCACATGGAGGCCGATTCGATGCATAGTGCAATTGAAAGTGCAAAAAAATACATTCCTGTATTTTGTCTTAATGATTGGAAGACAATTATGACACTAGCAAGATCCAAAAGAGGCAAAAATAAAACTTCTGGTGCCTACATTGTAGAGCAAATGACTTACCGTGACATTATTGACTTGAAAGCACTCAACTCAATACATCTATACTACAAAATACAATTCGGGATGAAGGGGGAGAAAAAATAGACTTAGTCACTTTCTCTTGTATACCGACGATATAATCTATATACAGTTGTATAACGGTTGGAACAGAGGAACAGTTGTAAAAGGTATTTGGAACTATTACTTTTTAGGAACAGGAACATACCTGTTCCACAAAAATACTAGTTTATAACATGTTTAATCTCTAGTGACGTATTGGTTGTGTACTTGCAATGATGACGTCAGGTACGATAATTAATTAACACACTGTATATTTCTTCATTCCTATTCATGGGATTCAGATTACAGGTTTCTGTTATACTTTTCTTTGGATTTTGATTCACAGATGTCTCTGGTGCTTTGTTTATTTTATGGATTTTATCATTTATACAACAATTATTTTTGTTGTCTTTGATTCACTAAAATGCCTTTTGGCCTCAGAAATGCGGCATAAACTTTCTACCTCTTTATTAATGTAGTTACTAGAGGCTACAACAGCTTTTCGAAAGGTTGAACAATTTCGGCATAAACATCAAAACCTCAAAATACGTTTTTGGCGTACAACCAATTAACTTCCTTGGTCCCAACGTTTCATCGGAAGGAATTCGTCCTTCATTAAGTAGAATAAAACCGATGAATGATTTCCCAAGACCAAATACTCTTAAAAAACTACAAAGATTTTTAGGTATGATAAATTTTTATCACTATTTCTTGGTTGTTTGTATACTCTTTCAAATACTTTACACAAAAAAGGGTCAAAAAGAAATAGGTAATTGGTCAGAGGAAAATGACCATTAGTTCACATAGATCTCATTGACCCTCTTTCACCTTCACTAGGGTACTCTTACATTCTGACAGTGATAGAACGCTTTACACGCTGATCAGAAGCTTTTCCTGTAAAAGATATATCCGCAAACACACTGCATTTTTAATAAGATATGAGATAGATATTGCCTATTTAGCGAATCGAGAAATGTTTTCAATAGGTGGTTATACTAGAGGTATATCGAAAAGATCGCTAATAAAGAGCAGCTGCTGGTGGTGTTGTATCTATGTAGTTTCACGTGGGAGTGAGTTTCTTCACAGCACTTAGGCCCCATCGGAACCTTTGTACGTCCCCACAATTTACTGTGCATTCAAGGGTCAGAAAACCAGCCCAATTTTTTCATGAACGTTAATATAGAACAGAAAGCTATGTTACCTATATCCGAAATTTGGAGCCATGGTACTCCGAAAATGGATTCTCTTAAGTACGCGAGGTTGGAACAGCGAGGTTCCATTTCACACCCACTACAGAGGGGTGTATTCGCCAGCTTCATGTAAAACATGTGCTTACGTAACCTGCAGTGTCCGGTCAGGAAGTGGGTAGGAAGCCTCAAGTCACTTTTTGATTTTCCCAGAAACTGAGTAGATCTCTTCCGGTCAGGGTATTGTTTATTTTCGAAAATTAACGCAATTATAACTCAAAAACTAAAAGCGATGGGGAAATACTTTTTATACATAAAACCTTAGTAATGGGCCATAAAGGCTAAATCCATAACAAGATTGAACCCAATTATTACTATTTTTTATTTATAAGCTCTAAATCGATTAAACATCAAAATTGTTGATTTTCGAAAGTAAACTCCATCATAACTCAAAAACTAAATGCGATGGAGAATTATTTTTTATACATAAATCCTTAATAATGGACCATAAAGACTGGATCCCTAAAGAGATTTAACCCAATTATTACCATTTTTTATTTATAAGCTCTAAATCGATTGAACATCAAGATTGTTGATTTTCGAAAATTAACTCCATCATAACTCAAAAACTAAATGCGATGGAGAATTATTTTTTATACATAAATCCTTAATAATGGACCATAAAGACTAGATCCATAACAAAATTGAACCCAATTATTACCATTTTTTATTTATAAGCTCTAAATCGATTAAACATCAAAATTGTTGATTTTTGAAAATTTACTCCATCATAACTCAAAAACTAAATGCGATGGAGAATTATTTTTTATACATAAATCCTTAATAATGGACCACAAAGACTGGATCCATAAAGAGATTTAACCCAATTATTACCATTTTTTATTTATAAGCTCTAAATGGATTAAACATCAAGATTGTTGATTTTCGAAAATTAACTCCATCATAACTCAAAAACTAAATGCGATGGAGAATTATTTTTTATACATAAATCCTTAATAATGGACCATAAAGACTAGATCCATAAAAAGATTGAACCCAATTATTACCATTTTTTATTTATAAGCTCTAAATCGATTAAACATCAAAATTGTTGATTTTCGAAAATTAACTCAATCATAACTCAAAAACTAAAAGCGATGGGGAAATACTTTTTATACATAAAACCTTAGTAATGGGCCATAAAGACTAGATCCATAACAAGATTGAACCCAATTATTACCATTTTTTATTTATAAGCTCTAAATCGATTAAACATCAAAATTGTTGATTTTCGAAAATTAACTCAATCATAACTCAAAAACTAAAAGCGATGGGGAAATACTTTTTATACATAAAACCTTAGTAATGGGCCATAAAGACTAGATCCATAACAAGATTGAACCCAATTATTACCATTTTTTATTTATAAGCTCTAAATCGATTAAACATCAAAATTGTTGATTTTCGAAAATTAACTCAATCATAACTCAAAAACTAAAAGCGATGGGGAAATACTTTTTATACATAAAACCTTAGTAATGGGCCATAAAGACTAGATCCATAACAAGATTGAACCCAATTATTACCATTTTTTATTTATAAGCTCTAAATCGATTAAACATCAAAATTGTTGATTTTCGAAAATTAACTCAATCATAACTCAAAAACTAAAAGCGATGGGGAAATACTTTTTATACATAAAACCTTAGTAATGGGCCATAAAGACTAGATCCATAACAAGATTGAACCCAATTATTACCATTTTTTATTTATAAGCTCTAAATCGATTAAACATCAAAATTGTTGATTTTCGAAAATTAACTCAATCATAACTCAAAAACTAAAAGCGATGGGGAAATACTTTTTATACATAAAACCTTAGTAATGGGCCATAAAGACTAGATCCATAACAAGATTGAACCCAATTATTACCATTTTTTATTTATAAGCTCTAAATCGATTAAACATCAAAATTGTTGATTTTCGAAAATTAACTCAATCATAACTCAAAAACTAAAAGCGATGGGGAAATACTTTTTATACATAAAACCTTAGTAATGGGCCATAAAGACTAGATCCATAACAAGATTGAACCCAATTATTACCATTTTTTATTTATAAGCTCTAAATCGATTAAACATCAAAATTGTTGATTTTCGAAAATTAACTCAATCATAACTCAAAAACTAAAAGCGATGGGGAAATACTTTTTATACATAAAACCTTAGTAATGGGCCATAAAGACTAGATCCATAACAAGATTGAACCCAATTATTACCATTTTTTATTTATAAGCTCTAAATCGATTAAACATCAAAATTGTTGATTTTCGAAAATTAACTCAATCATAACTCAAAAACTAAAAGCGATGGGGAAATACTTTTTATACATAAAACCTTAGTAATGGGCCATAAAGACTAGATCCATAACAAGATTGAACCCAATTATTACCATTTTTTATTTATAAGCTCTAAATCGATTAAACATCAAAATTGTTGATTTTCGAAAATTAACTCAATCATAACTCAAAAACTAAAAGCGATGGGGAAATACTTTTTATACATAAAACCTTAGTAATGGGCCATAAAGACTAGATCCATAACAAGATTGAACCCAATTATTACCATTTTTTATTTATAAGCTCTAAATCGATTAAACATCAAAATTGTTGATTTTCGAAAATTAACTCAATCATAACTCAAAAACTAAAAGCGATGGGGAAATACTTTTTATACATAAAACCTTAGTAATGGGCCATAAAGACTAGATCCATAACAAGATTGAACCCAATTATTACCATTTTTTATTTATAAGCTCTAAATCGATTAAACATCAAAATTGTTGATTTTCGAAAATTAACTCAATCATAACTCAAAAACTAAAAGCGATGGGGAAATACTTTTTATACATAAAACCTTAGTAATGGGCCATAAAGACTAGATCCATAACAAGATTGAACCCAATTATTACCATTTTTTATTTATAAGCTCTAAATCGATTAAACATCAAAATTGTTGATTTTCGAAAATTAACTCAATCATAACTCAAAAACTAAAAGCGATGGGGAAATACTTTTTATACATAAAACCTTAGTAATGGGCCATAAAGACTAGATCCATAACAAGATTGAACCCAATTATTACCATTTTTTATTTATAAGCTCTAAATCGATTAAACATCAAAATTGTTGATTTTCGAAAATTTACTCCATCATAACTCAAAAAGTAAAAGCGATTGGGAAATACTTTTTATACATAAAACTTTAGTAATGGACCATAAAGAATAGATCCATAAAAATATTGAACTCAAGTGTTACCATTTTTCAAAATTGTTGATTTTCGGGATTAACTTCCGGTCGGGAACTCTCATTACTATACTACTTCAGAGCAATGATATTTTAGAGAGATTCCATAGAACTCGTTGTGAAACATCATCATCCACAAGAGAGTACTCCCTAAAGCAAAGAACAGAATTTATTAGTATTATAATGGATATGTGGCAGGAGAGGTAAAAAAAATACTAAAACTATGTAATGATGACTTTTATTCAACATAATAATGACTTTATTATATCTTTAATTTTTGAATTTCTTTTCTTAATTCTTTTAATTCAACAACAGCGGTTTTAAACAGTTCACCTTCGGGACTATTTTTCGGTTCAAAAACTAAAATTCCTAAACATTTCACTAAAACCTCTTCGACGTCTAACAAATGTTTTAAATAATTGTTTAATTTCCCAAGACCTAGTAATTTACGGGATAAATTTAACTTTTCCTTTTGCAGTTGATACAAACCCAAAGCTTGTAATCTCGAAATACCCGGCTCGAAAACTTTTGTAACTTCCAAAACGTTTTCGATAAAATCAATTTTTTTAAACATCAAATCGTTTTGGTTCTCATCGATCAAAGAAACCAATAATTGTTTTAATTCGATGATTAAAAAATTATTTTCTGAAAGCGACGTTAAAAAATTTTTCAATAATTTTTCACCTTTTTTAAATTTATCGAAATTAATTTCATTCCTAAATTCCTCAATTTTTTCTTCACAAACATTAAAAATTGTTTTAATCATTTCACCTCTTACTTCATTTTGACAATTTTGACATTTCCAAATGTCATTAAAAACGTCATTTAGCGGATTTAATGGAACTATTAACCCGATTTTACATTTTAAACATTTAACCGAAGAGAAATTCGTGTTTAATTCGGTCGGATCCGAACACCGTTTACATTTACAACGAAAGTATTTCCCCGATTCTAACCTTAAAAGCCGTTCGTGAGTTGGTTTTAAACAATTTCCGTAATTAAAATAAATTTTTTCACCTTTTTGAATCGGTAAACTCGCTCGAATCGTCATTTTGAACGCGTTATCTATCGATAAATGCGTATTTCCCACACAATCGTGCGTCATTAACGATGATTTTATGTATAATCCGCGTAAATAACTCGTTTGTTGAAAACAATTTGACGAAAATTTTAAATTTGGCGCCCTTAATTCGAAACAATTCACGTCAAATATAGCGCAAATTTTTTGGATTATGTCGCCGTTTAGGTTGGAATTGGTTTGAAATTTATTTAAAATGATTTTAACGATCGATTCGTTGTAAAAATTCCAAATTGGGGTTCCTTTTCTGTCGTTTTCGTGACTTTCCAACATCATTAGTTCGTTGAAGATTTCGCTTTTGTATGATTTTAATAGTAAACATCGTAAAACTGTTATGATTTGTGGAACGTTTAAGAAGTCTACGGTTTTTATTTTAAAGTTTTTTAATGACTCGCATTCGTCTTCAGGATGGAAAATACCTAAACAACAAAGAAATACGATATTAATATACATGTTTAATTGATTAAGGTTCCATTATCAAATTGTTAAACGTCAATTTGATAAAGAATGAAATCTTGTGAAGATTATCAAAAGTGAGTATAAGTATCAAAAGTCAATTTGATGTCAAATTAGGAGAATATCATCATAATATTAGGAGGAGTAAAAAACGTTTCAAAAATTAATTTTCATATATACAGGGTGATTCAAAAAACCGCTGACAGACTTCTAGAGTAGATAATACATGAAAAATTAAGATGAATTGTCTTAATATACTATAATATAATAAGCATTTTATTGTTTTTTAATATCAACAATTTTCCCTTTAATATATTCTAATCTATATTGTTAATTAAGTTTATTGCTACCAAATCAGCAATACATTCCACAAACAATTAAATTTTTAGCAATACTACAATTACATATATCACATTACAATACAATACATTTTATTTCCTATCCTACCCCTCCCCATCTCCTCCCCGCATCTCCCTACGCTGCCTTGTCGCCACCACCTCCCTCATCCATTCTCTTCCCTCTGCCCCCTCCCCCAGCACCTGCTTCCAGCCGATCACCTCCTCTCTTAGCTCGTCACACTCCCTCAGTAGGTGCTCCAACGACTCCCACTCCCCCCCACATAGCCTACAACCCCTCTCATCATCTCTCATCCAATACCTATTCGCTCTCTCCTCATTGCCGCATCTGAATCTTGCCACCATCCTCTTCCCCTCCTCATCCCCCTCCACCGACAGGTACTTCGGCAATCCCTCCGTTATTATTTCCTCGTACTTAGGGTTGTACCTGCTCTCCCTTATCTGCCCCCTTCTTTCTTGCCTCTGTACATCTCTGTCCCTGCTCTCCAGCTCTTTCCACATCTCAATCCCTTCCCTCCTTCTATCATCTACCGCTTTCACTGAGTACCCCACCCTTCTGAAATATTCCTCCCTCCCTCGTTGCCCGTAACCCCCTTTCCCTGCCTTAATCTCTTTCCAGCACTCCCCCAAAATTTTACATTGAGACCTCCCTTCAACCCTCTCCTCAAAACGTACCGCCCTTTTACCCGCCTCCACTCTTAACTTATCAACCTTCACCTCTTCTCTGACTATGTACTCCGGCGTCTCTTTTGCCAACCCCAAAACCCATCTCCAATACCTAGCCTGTACGCCTTCCAACAGCCCTTGCTCTTTCCACCCCCAAAGCTCCGCCCCGTACATCATAACACTTCTAATCAAGCACTCGAATATCATCTTCCTTTTTCCCATATCCCTTCCAAATAATCTCTCTCCCCACCCCCAGACCTGCCCCATCACCTTATTCGCCTTCTTGGCCATTGCCCTCACATGCGCGCCTTCCTTGTTGTCCTCTCTAAATCTGTACCCCAAATATGTGTACTCCCTCACCTCCTCTATCTCCTTCCCTTCCCACCTCCA